GTTCTGGCAATTAAAGATTGACAATTAATTAATTGTCAATTGCGAAACAGCAATTAACGATTGATCAATTGTTAATCGCAAATATCTACAATTAACAATTAATCAATTTTCAATCTTTTCAATGTTTTTGATTAACAACTAACAATTAAAACTGACAATTATGATAAATTTATAGGGGGGTGAGTTAGGGCGTTGGTGGGGGCCCCGGTTGGGGGCCCGGTTGGGGGCCCAGTTGGGGGCCCTGTTGGGGAACCCGGTTGGGAGCCCGGTTGGGGGCACGGTTGGGGGACTCGGTTGGAGACCCGGTTGGTGGCCCGGTTGGGGGCCCGGTTGGGGGGTCCGGTTGGGGGGCTCGTTTGGGGGCCCGGTTGGGGGCCGGTTGGGGGCCCGGTTGGAGGGCCCGGTTGGGGGGCACGGTTACTGGCCCCTAACCGGGCCCCCAAGAAGGGCCCCCAAGCGAGCCCCCAACCGGGTCCCCAATCGGACCCCCAAACGGGCCCCCCAACCGGGCATCCCAACTGAGGCCACAACCGGGGCCCCCAACGGGCCCCAAACCGGGGCCTCCAACCGGGCCCCCCAACCGGGGCCCCCAACTGGGGCCCCAACCGGGGCCCCCAACCGGCCGGAATTGATTTTAATTGCAAATTTAATTGCAATTAAAATCAATTCAATTGAAATCAATTACAATTAAAATCAATTGAAATTAAATCAATTGCGACGCGTCGCAATTGATTTAATTGCAATTGAATTGATTTTTTAATCTGATTGAATTATTGATTGAAATTTAATTGATTAACGCCCAACACTGGTATTGATATATGTACTTCTATGACTTTACGTTTTTTATTTATCAATTTTGATTTATTTAAACCTTCTTCCCATTGACTTACAAATAAATGGACGACGGGTCTAATACAAAAACCATGAAAAAAATGTCCCAAGTCAACCTATTCGAAATTTAAATTGTAATGTCATCGCAGTATCGCGCTGTCAGTCGAACAAATGAAGACTAAAGCGGAGTTTGGCGCTCTGTATACGATTTTAGCGCCTTACAAGTGCGGACACTTTTTAGCGCGGACCCGACGTCCATATAATTGTAAGTCAATGCTTCTTCCTCATGAATTATATGCTTTTTGAGATAGGCTGTTATTCTAGAAAGCAACCGTTATGACGCTTGACCAACACTATTTCACGAATAGAACCATAGGAATAGACAGTTACGTTTTCCTCTCGGCAGTACTGAGATGTAAAAACCGCGAAGGCCTTGAAGAGCCGCCATAGCTCCGATAGTTAGGCGCGGGGTAGTACTCTGAACAATCCAGAGTCACAATCTTTGCGCAGTTCTCCGGCACGTTCTCCTCCGTGTCCGACAGCCGAGTCGCGTCGTCTATATAAAGAAATCAAATGTTTTATTTAATATTGAATTAATAATTTTATTTTATATAATATCAAGTGACTACATCCTCAATACAAAAGTGGCTAAGGCTGCTAACAGATTGACTGCATGTTTGCGGTTAACACGTGAAGTCGTAACTTCATGCAGCCGAGACCACGACTTCCATCTCGGATCACGACTTCACGCATTAACTGCAAACACGCAGTCAATCTGTTAGCAGCCTTAGGGTACGTTCCCATTATGTCGCGACGACAGATAGTCGTGCAGTTTAAAGTGTCGTAGCTTGTATATTTAAATGAAGTTGTTCACACATAACAACATGATTAACTGTCGCTCACGACTTTTTTGACATTACGACGACAGACTGTCGTCACAATGGGGAGAGGTAGAACGACAATCTTCTGATGATGAATAAACAGTCACGATAAAAATGTGACGACAGATAATCGCAGCTTCAAACAATTCTGTCGTGCAAACGACGAGGCGGCTGTCGTGAACCGATAAATTGTCCTCACGATCTAGTGGGAACAGATGGACACGACAGTCATTCAATGATAAAATAAACGTCCACGACACAGTCACGACAGATAGTCGTAATATGAGAACAGGCTAGACGCGACAGTCGTCCAACGATAAATAAATCGTTAATGGGAACGCGCCCTTAGCCACTTTTATATTGAGGGTGTTGTATGTAGTCACGAGTAAAGTGTTAACTATTAAATAATATAACTAGACAAATGTAAGCCGACACTCACCGTGATTAGGAACAAGCAGCACACTCTCCATGCCGATGTTATCGATCAAGAAGTTAGCAACGACGGGGTCCGAGATCTCCAACGAGTCTAACGCGCAGAGGAAACCGGATGCGCGGACCCTGTTGCGACTCACGTCGTGTTGCTTCGATAGAAACTTGCTGCAAGTTACGGCGGGCTTGCCCGAGTTGCCGTATACCTGATGAATGATCAAATGGGCATTTTTACACAACTACAGGCGAAATTGCGGCTACGCTTTTTTAACACACTTAAAATTGTTACATTCTTTTTTTTAATTAAGTGTACTTGCTCTTGACCACTACCTAGCTCTGGAGCAAAGATAGGACCTACGATGGAACGAGCTCGTCCAGAAGATGCCTATTCAGTCGCAACTTAAAGATACCCGAGTTATATGAGTTTGAAAACACAGTCGCAGGCAGGGAATTCCATTCCTGGGCTGTGCGTATTATAAAAGATGATGAAGAGCGCTTAGTACGCCTGAAGGGAATATCGACCAAGTAAGTATGATATCCCTCCGTGCGTCTGCATAACCGATGGTAAAAAGGTGCGGGCGGGATGAGCTGATGGAGCTCATGGACACACTCTGTAGAAAATCGACAGACGGGCAACTTTGCGCTTTTGCGCAACTCTTCTTCTTATCATAATTTTTTTTATGATATCAAGTGACGGGACGAACTAGTCGTGCACCTCGTGATAAGCGACACGCTTGTCCATGACAGTTGCAGTGCCATTCAGAGCTTTAAATCGCAAAGATCAGAGGGGCACTACCAATTCGCGCGTCACCATGAAACATTAGACAAGTCCCATGTGTTTGTAATTTCACCAGCACCCTTACCCTTCAAAACCGGAACGCAGTAATTTTCACAAAGTCAAAGAATCATTTATTCCATAGGTAACACGCAGTCTCAGAGACCGCAGGGACCATATTTTAGTCATTTTACAAAAACTATAAACAATAAACGGTTGCGCGACCGTGATATCCTCGAGGGGGTGAGGTACTTCCCCTTAGTAGCCCTGTGATGTTCGTCGCATTTCATGTTATTTGTATGTATTAAATTATTCATTATTTCACTATTTGTTGTAGACACAACATGAGTTACGAAGAATCAGAACGGCTTGCAGAGGTAGCGGAAACAGAAGTTGAAGATTTTGATGATGTCAAACCATTGCTACTGATAATAAGTAGGTCATCGTACTACCTTAGTTAGAAGGTTTTTATTTCGTTTTCCTTTTTTATTTTATAAGAATTGAGATAGTACGTAAAACATCATGAAAAAAAACATTCAAAAATAATTGTGATTTTAGAGTTCCTACATCATCATCATCATCAGCCTATTGCAGTCCACTGCTGGACATAGGCCTCCCCTAATGCACGCCATTTCGCCCTGCTCTCGGCTTGACGCATCCATTTCCTGCCAGCAATCTTCCGCAGATCGTCACTCCATCTGGCTGGAGGGCGTCCTACAATATTGTGCAATTGATGACAATATTGATTGATCTTGATAATAATCTATTATAGTGTGATTATGAACGATTAAGATAGAAAATTTCATCTTGTTTTGTTATTTTGTTGATTTTTAACATTGTTTGTGTCTAAATTACTAAAATTTTGAATTTTCATAAACTGTTCAACTAATAAGTACAAATATAAAAAAATATTAAGTAAGTAATGTTTTTTGTTTTCATTTATACAGATAAAAGACTTTTTTTATCATGTGCTACACAACATCATGAAAATGTTCATTTGTTTTCTCAAACTGAACGCGTAAAGTTGCGGTCTCACAGACCGCACGCGACTGCTTATGTTCGCCGCAAGGGTGCGACCACTGGAAGGTTAAGCTACTGCTCGGTCACTACGCTGACCTCCCTGAGAAGAACGAGCAAGAAACTCTAGGGATTGCTCTTTTTAAATAAACTTAAACGCCATAGAATACATTTTAAATCAAATTTTTGTGGAATCTAGAGGCATGTCGTCTTTCCATACATCCTTATCTAACACGTAGCCTTCAATTTTGTAATATGACTTTTCAATTAAAATATTTTTAATGTAGTTTTTAAACTTGGAAAATCTTAATATATATTAAACTCCGGAATCTTATTGTAAAAACGTATACAGTTCCCCATAAAAGAGTTGTTTACCTTAGTTAAACGAAATCGTGGTACCATGACTTTGGACTTAGCTCTAAGGTTAATATTATGGATATCTTCGTTCTTATTGAAATTATGTATATTTTCACGGGCATGTAAAATATTTGAGTAAATGTACTGTGATGCCACAGTCATGTTACCAGCCTCCTTAAACTTTTCTCTCAGAGAAACCCGAGAGCCTAAACGGTACACAGAACGAATCGCTCGTTTTACAATACAAATATGGTTTTAATTTACTGCTTGGCGGTAGAAATAGGTAAGGTAGAAGTATTTCCCTGGACAAAACCCTTCCACAAGGAGCTCTACAGTTACTAAATACGTAAGGCGGCCTCAGCTATTCCATATAATGTTCATTGATCTCGAAGGTTATAAGTTTGCAATACCTGGCCCATAATTTCGAAGAGCTTGCGCGAGTCGTCGGGTGTATTGACGCAGAACGACTGGATCGAGCCGCCGATTATGTGTTCCAGAGCTCCGCCCCACTTCTTCTCCTTCACTTTCAAATATGCTCCTGCACGTAATAATAATAAAATCGTGTGTTTATCTCGTTTCACATAGAATTTAGTACAAGACAACAAATAACAATAATATAATAACGTATACACTCAACATAGCCCCGCACTAGGGAAACCCTGTGTCGCGGGTGCCATGGACACACACATAGACAACCACAAATTACACCCAAACTAACGAGATAAATAGATGTAGGCTATACAAATATTTCTCCCAGCCCGGGAATCGAACCTGGGACCTCTGCGTGGCATGGTAACCATTCGGCCACTGAGGCAGTTTCGCACCCCTCATGGGAGAACGGCATAAGTCGAGTTACGACAAGCTTGTTCATTGCTCCATTAGATACATAAAATGGTACTAACCTATAACAAACTCGAATTTCTTTTTTCCGAATTTCATTTTTCCGAAAGCGGTTCGACTTTTTCTCATTAGTGAGATGACAGTTTTGGTATAAATTTACAACACAGAAATGTATTATAGCAGAAGTATCATTTGTCCGAAAACCTATGATTAGAATAATTATTACACATACGTATTCTTTGGGCAGAAGTTTGTTTAGTCTAATCATGTTCGTTACAGTGTCTGTTTTCCATATAATTTAGATTGCTGAAAATTCGTTTCGATAAAACTCTTAGATATAATTAGATATTCTTAGATAAAATTGTACCGCCATACAATTTTACCGTACAGCTCCAAAATTCTGGACTGTACTTTGCTGGTGCACAGCAAGACCACTTACGTAATTTTCGTCATACCATTGTGCTATGTTTTTGCTGTCATCTGAAATGTAATTTAAAAACAATGTTGTGGGTTTAGGTTAGGTTAGTATATGAATAAACCGCACGAGCCGAGCGAGCGCAGGAAGCGTGCCGTGGCAGCGGCCGGCGAGTGCCAGAGCGGAATTTTTTTGCATTACCTAGTCGGTACGACCCCTTCCTGTAGGTTTAGGTTAGGTTAGTATATGAAAAAGCAGCACGATCCGAACGAGCGAAGGGAGCGACGACAACTCTATCAAATTAACTTGCATCTCGTTTACCATATTTTGTAAAGATGCGAGGTGCTTTAATGGGACGAGTTGTATTTTGCGACACGTTCTAATACTTTTAATATCCGTAATAAGAGATAATATAACAAAAATGTACCATAGATATCGTTTTTTTTTTGCAAAATAAAAATATTCAATTAGATATATTGGTCAAACGGTTTATTGGGGAAATAAAAATCGGGAAAAGAATAACTTGTCAATATGTAAAAATTGTTTAACTTTAAATGAAAAAAACCGTAACGTGTTTTCGGACAAATGAAACAAAATCTATTCAATAAAGGTTTTCGGAGAAACAAAATTCTATAAATCAAGTTTCTAGCTTGTGATAGGTAACCCAGAAAAATCACTCACTCAATCACTCACACAGTCTATCTACAATATCAGTCGATAGAGTTACAAGAATTGGAAAGGATGTGGGTTATATTTTTCTGTATCTAATGGAGCAACAAACATGTTTGACGTAACTTCACTTATTCTTCACCTATTCTATTACCGGAAAGTGCGCGAAACCGGATTCATCCCCTGCTTTGCCGATTTCAATTAAACTTGGCAAACAGATGTAATTCCACCAAATTTTGAGGTCGGTTTTTTTTAGTACTCTGTACTGAGATTATTCTCTTTCAAAATTGTATTGTAAGTTACGTCCATTCGTGACAAAATATTATATATTATTATGTTCCCATGGGATAAATTCATTACATCTCCTTTCAAAATCGTCACATTATGAAAAAATATTTGCAAAGCATTTGAAATGATGATCTTTTTTTGTGATTCAATTGCCAAGAACTTGAATCACAACACAGCGACTACAGCATCATTTCAGAAATAATAGAAATACAGTTACGATATAATTTTTATGCAAATTTTCACATCTTAAAATACGACTATAATATACTCCCGGATACATAATTCGAGGCGCACCTCGCGTTTTTGCCTTAAAGGGCGAGAATACACAAATAGTGTTATCATCGAAGAAAAGTTTTCCCCCGGTTTTGCAAATCCAAATTCCCAACAAAGACTTATTTATAGGAAAAGACGTTTGGTATACTAGTTTCAAATTTGCGTAATAGTTTTTGATCAATCAAACATTGTTTCAGCTTAGGACACTTAATACTGAAAATGCGTGGTGGCGCGAATTATGTGTCGGGAAGTGTATTTTGTTACAGGGTGTTTTGTTTGGTGCGGAGATAATTTGTTACCAATGGGTCCCCTAGGGGGCGCGCTGAAGGCGCCCCTGGCGGCGGCCTGCTTGACGCGGCGAACTAGCTCAACCATGTTGTTCCCGTATACGGCCAGTGAGTCGTTGCCGCGAGAGGACAGTTCGCGCAGTTGTTGACGCAATTGTTCTAAACGAAAACATATACATAAAACACTATACCATACCAGTACCAAGATTGCTTGATAATAAGGCAGTCACCAAACTTATTAACGCGGAATCGCCTTGATGCGATCGTGTTTAACCACACTTGTCGCATTAAGCCGATTCGCCGTTGACGCGGCCGTTCGCGCGTCGTCGCGCCTATTGTTTCTAAACCAGGATCAGCTGTAGTCGGCATGCGCACGGACGCGATCGGAAATTCGCAGAAAGCAGACATGTGTCGAGCCGCGTTCGTACGAACCTATGCGAAACATACAACGTCTTTTTCGCTCTTACGCTCATGGACACAAAAGTCTTCTCTGACCGGCTTAATACGATTCTGCGGATAAGTGTGGTGACTCCTTAAAACGTTCGATACGGCACGCACTCATATTTATCGCCGATTCTTGAACCTGAGTCCTTGACCCCGGCCTGATGTGCCATTGCCGGGGAATAAAGCCTCTCCCATTTAAAAATCAAAATCGATCTTTTAAGCTGAGTCTAAAATGGATATTCAAAATATAAAAATGCTTGGATAGTATAACAACAAGACAACTAGAGTAACTCTCGTCTATTTAGATAGCAATAATTTAGCATTTAAAATCACTCAGTTGTCCAGCGATTCGATTTCATATCGTACGATTTGTTTTCATTTTTATTCACAACACCCGATTCGAACGTTAAACTGTCGTATTCGAAACCTAACCGAATGACGTCACACCCGTACGATTACTCAAACTTCTCGAACGGCAAAGGCTACAAACGTTATCCAGAATAGAGTTATCGAATAAGTTACCGGACGTCCAATTGTTTACAAAGCAAGAATGTAATATGGAAATTTCTTATTATTTTAAATTTTGATATGATATGTCTTAAAAATGTATATAAAAGGGTTTTCATCTTTCTCACAATCTATTTCACCGACTAACTCCGTAAACGCTGTTGGATAGCGATGTCGTATCGAACATTTAACTCAAATGTTTTGAACATTTCGGAAAACGCCCTTCCGATTCGAGAACGATATCCAATTGAACAATTCGGAATATGGAATAGTTCTGAATCGAGGTCCATTTTGATATATAAGAAAGCCTCCCCCCTCTGCGATTACTGCAAAAGAATAGAAGACCGGATCCATCCGTTAGTGTGTTAACGAAATTGTTCAAACATTGTTCTGGGAAACCCTTTGCATAACATAGCCAAAAAGATGTATGCTTACGTAACCTATCGCATGACATCCAAAAATACCCTGACCGAGTAAAAAACTGACCAACGCCCGCCTGATGCTGCTTGGCCCTGGCCGCCTGCTGCTCGGCGCCGGCCTGCGCGCGCGCCGCGTGCGCCCTGGCCTGCGCCGCGTCGTTGGACGCCGTGTCGTAGCGCGCGCAGGCCGCCCGCGCCGCCTCAGAGGCTTCCGCCAGCCGCTTCTCCAGGTCGGCCCGCAGCGACGTCGCGCTGCCCGAGCTAATACGTAATACGTAAGCGAATAACGCTTCAAATAATCAAAAATCACTAAACTACTACTCATAACGTCGATTAAACTCATTCACAGAAAACAGAATTTCTAGAAATAATGTTACATGACAATAGATTGTCATGTAACATTATTTTTCCAAAAATTCTGTTATATAAATATACATGTACAAATAATACATGACAAAAAAAAAAGAACTGCCTCCGTGGCCGAACGGTTATGACTGCCACGCAGAGGTCCCAGGTTCGATTCCCGGGCCGGGAGAAATAGTTGTATGGCCTACAATTATTTCTCTCGTGAGTTTGGGTGTAATTTGTGGTTGTCTATGTGTGTGTCCATGGCACCCGCGACACAGGGTATCCCTAGTGCGGGGCTATGTTGAGTGTGTGCGTTAAAAAAAAAAAAGATTTGAAAAGTGGTTATGAAAATGATTATACATTAAATTGATTACCTAATTCGTCCAATTGTTGCTTATGTCAAATTTTAGTCAGTGCTTAAATCTACAGTTATTTTAATTTTGATTTATTGTTTTGTATGTTACATGTTAAATTATATATTATTTGAATTGTGGTGTTCCATGTTATGACGGGCCATGACGGAATAACAGCGAGGGCTATGTAACTAGCATGGTCCTCAGAGGCTGAGTCAAGGACCCTTTTGACATGCTTTTATTTTTTTATTTTTTGTGATTCTTTTTTATTTTAATTGAAAATATTTTTATTAATTTTTTGATTGAAATTTATGCATGTCAAATAAAGTCTATTTTATTTTATTTACTTTATATCTTAAAAGTGGTCTAAAACTTTAAACTTTATTTGCCTGATATTGTTCATGGAGAATAAAAACAGGGACTGAGTAACGAAGTCTACAAATTTAGCCAACATAGATGCCTAATTCCCCTGATGTTTCTCGCTTAGAATATTTATTTCCAACATCATAAACACAACCTGAATGAGCTAAATAGGTCACAAGCATGGACTTTTGTCATCCAAGTATACAGACTCTGGTATACCCTTTGTATGAAATTTTAGTTCGTTAATAACACATTCATAGCATATGTGTATTTCACAATAGCAATAAGCATGCAACTACAATTGTCCAGTAAAACTGCAAATTATTATACAATACATATACAAGAATACAACTTACTCAATGTTTTGTATCTCAGCCTCCAATTGAGCGACATTTCGTTTTTCCCTGTTCAACAGCTCAGTGTGTTTCTTCATAATGCTCTGTGCATTCTGCCACACAGCTTGCGTCTCGCGTACTTCCAACTCGTGAGCCCGCAGGTCTTCTTCCAAAGACGTTTTGTGGGCCCTTTTATCTTGCAGTTCACTCTTCAATTTACTGCCAAAACGAAAGTATCCTTTAACTATCAACAATAATTCAAGCTCTGCATTCTGTTAAATCAATATAAAGTGTGTTGTAAGTATTACCACATGTACGTGTGCGTGTGTGTGTGTGAGTGTGTGTGTGTGAGTGTGTGTATGTGTGAGTGAGTGTGAGTGAGTGTGTGTATGTATGTATGTATGTGCGAGTGAGTGTGTGTATGTATGTATGAGTGAGTGAGTGAGTGAGTGTGTGTATGTATGTATGTATGTGTGTGTGTGTGTATGTGCATTAACCTATTGCCATAGATTAGGAAAGTAGTGTTTTTAAAGCAAGTGTTCTAATAGATCTTCGGTTTCCTCATACGATTTCGACTGTAGCCATTTTGATGTAACTTTTTTTTTTTTGGAGTCTGTCATCATCAGTTACATTTGAACTTCATCGTGAACTAAATCAACAACTGCTTAAAACTAAAGCTTTTTTGCAGCAAAAGATAATGAACAGACACTGGTTCATGTCTAGTCAGATTAAAGGAATTTTCCTTTTTGTACGATGATCTTTGTATCAACAAAAATAACAAACCATAATATTGAAGCATATTCACAAAGGACTTGAAAATTATGGTAGTAGAACATCATAATAATTAATCAAATATTGCAATTAATACAGCGACATCTCTCGTCAGCTTCTGGTAGCTGTAAAGATAGGCTGCGTGAGTAACTTCATAAGTTTCTCACAAGTGCTCTGATAGCGAAAGAAGTAGTTTAAATAAAAACTGTATACAAAAATCTGTGATAAACACAAAGAAATTCATAACGAATTGATAAAAAAAGTTCGTTACGGACCTCACGAATTTTTCTATGTGTTTGTTGTCGTATCTTTGGATTTTTCAACGACTTTTTAGCCGTAGCGCCTTCTATGAGAAATCTTAATTATTTCGTCACCCAGTTAAGATACCTTGACAGCTACCAGCCCTGGCTAGAGATGTCGCTATTCATTGTATTTAAATTTTTATTGTATTGATATTCAATTATTTTTTTATGTGAAATTACTCCACTAGTTTGTTATAATTATTAAATACAAAGATCGAACACTGTAGTTATTTAGTATGTAGGTAGTTGTTTTAGAAACAATGTAGTTAACAAAAGAATGTTGCGACTTCAGCACTGCTGACAAGACTTTGGACGAAAAAAAACCTTACGCATAACAATCCTTACTCAATAGTGTCACTGTTACTGCCAAAATTCTGCTCCATATTTCTAAGCCTTTCCATAAGCCTCTCGATTCTCGCATTTTGCTTATCATACTGCGCCTGTACAGTTGCCGCCTCGCGCTCTAACTCAGCTATTTCACTCCAATAATATTCGTTCTGTAAAGCTTGTTTCTGTGCTTCAATTTCGTCGCGTGATTTCATTTGTTCATGATTAGCTTTCCATTTTTTGTATTCCTTTTCTAGTTCTATAAAAGCCTGTAAACAGTGGCCTACTTTAGATATTGCATTCTCACAATGAAACTCATATTCTATAATTATATTCAGGGGTTACCTCAGGACCTTTTTGTACCCATTTCTTGTTAAATTACACATATGCCTCTTATATATAAAAAAATAACAACTGCCATAAATTATATGAGGCTAAGACATTGACATGAAAAGCTATATTTCTGTGGTCCTAAACCACAAAAAGGGCTGTTTTTTTTTACTGTTTACAATATAAAAATTATAAAGTTTTTAAAATTATGAACAAATAATGGTTAATAATTTATAATTGTCATTAGGGAAACTTGTTATAGGGGATTAACATTGATTGGTATGTATATATGTTTAATAATCAGTGATCGGAAGAGGTGGTTATTTACATAAACTTCAAGGAACAGAGACAGAAAGTGGCGACTACAATTTTTTGTTCCGAAATGTTTTCAGGATTCGGGAAATTACTTAAGTAGATTAAAAATTGACTTCATTTGGGATAGGTTGTACGTAGATTATATTTATCTAACCTTGCGACGAGTTGCTGCAACTACCAATTTTTGAGAATATTCAGGAAAATAACAATATACATAAATAACAAATAAACAAAACATTAAAAATTTTGATAAATATACTCTACCTATCCATCTAGGTGGGTGACTAAAAACAATGTTAATACTGTATGAAGCAGACTTACATCAAGCTTCCGTTTCAAGACATTCTTAGCTCTATCACAGTTTGCAATAGCGCTGTTGTAATTAGTTTCAGTCTGATCCAAGTTTGTAGCTTTACGAAATAAAGAATACTTCTTTTTGGCGTCGGAGGCGTGGAAGCTGCGCGCGTCGTCCTGATTTAATACCGATATTGGGTTGTCCACTTGAATGTCGTGAGCTAGGCATATCGCATTCACTTCTTCAAACTTTGTTGATTTTATCTCTCCTGAAAGTGTTTCAATTGATTTAACACATTTTTTTAACTAGACTATATTAAAGTATTAAGTCAGGATAAGTGTAGCAGATGTGTTTAGTTAGATTTATAAAAACTATTCTTTCTATTACAGTGTAGGTAAAAAACATTGTTTTAAGCCATAACTTGCATTTCAGCAGAGAAGACCCCATTCCAATAATTATAAAAAATATTAACCCCTCACACATGGCCAGAGATGGCATGTAGTCTTTAATGATTTTGATATTTTTTTTAAATATATAATAAAGAAATATTTATTTATTTATTTATTTATGTATATATTATATGTATATAAAATAATAATTGTTTCATTAATTTTAAATATACAATTTTTAAAAATGGTGGATGAAAACACAGCTGCACATTAAAGATATTGTGTGGCTTTAGAATACTCTAATGCCAAAATTGTTAAGCACACCACGTATCTCTATGTCCAAATTCAAATCTTTATAAGGGGGTGATATTCCCTCCCTCAATTTCGACATCAGTTATTCTAAAGTCCTATTATATATTCAAAAAGACTGATATAGAAATACATTGGTCCTATTTTTTAAACTTTGTGCTGGCCACCTTCCCTTAAATAAGTTCTAATATTTAATAATAAGAATGAAATCACGCTACGTCACTTTCATAAGAAACTTGAAGATATGCTACATTTGATAGAATGTGGCCATTATAGGGCTATAAGAAGTCAAATTCGGCTCAACTGTACAATACCTACACTCGAGTTGAGAGTTGAAATTAATATGGTGAATAGATTACATAGTTAAGGCCCATTTAGATGGGGAGAGTTTCTCGCACGCTTCGAGACGAAAACTCGTAGGCGATTCTCGTAAGCAATAATCGCCATAAGATTATCGTATCATAATGTTTACATTCAGGCAAGAACTAAAATCTCGCCTACGATTATGTCATACGAGATTCGCAAGCAACTTAATCGCCTCCTCGACTGTTTACACGGAGAAATACGTAGTAAGGAGATTCTTGCTTACGAGTTTTCGACTTGTCTAAACACGATCTCGTATGACATTTTTTCAAGTTCATACGATTATCGTACAAATCGGTTCGAACCGTTTTGAGTGCGAGAATTGCCATTCGAGTTCTGTGATTACTGCGGTATGACTATGGATATATCAAAATGATGCAAAAACCATTCAAATTTGAAACTGCTGATAATATTAAGTTCATTGCACTGTATAGAAATATAATTTTCATTTATCATTTTTTTTAATTTTATAACTACTGACACAAACAAAAACTGACAATTATGATAAATTTATAGGGCGAGTGAGTGCGTGAGTGACTGAGTGAGTGCGTGCGTGCGTGCGTGCGTGCGTGCGTGAGTGAGTGAGTGAGTGAGTGAGTGAGTGAGTGAGTGGTGAGTGAGTGAGTGAGTGAGTGAGTGAGTGAGTGAGTGAGTGAGTGAGTGAGTGAGTGAATGGTGAGTGAGTGAGTGATGAGCGAGTGCGTGAGTGAGTGAGAGTGAGTGAGTGAGTGAGTAGGGAGTGAGTGGGGAGTGAGTGGCGAGTGAGTGAGGAGTGTTTATTGAAAAGTACATTTACTTGAAAAGTCGTGTCGGCCATCTTGGATTTACAAATAAATGTTATGTTCGCAGTGAGCACCCCCAAATACCTCAAAAACGATACCTAACTTGCCATTATTTGAAAAGTCGTGCCCGCCATCCTGGATTTAGAAAGGAGTGCAATATTCGTTACGAGAGCACCCTAAATACTATATTGCCCACGCTATATTCGACCACAGAGGCATTCACTCACTCACCGTTATTTGAAATTTTTTTTTTCGCTCTTGTTCCATTAATTCTTGTCTTAGAAAAGCAGTGATAATCAAAACACCCTCGCGCGCTGCACTCGTGGTAGAAACGGCTGGCACAGAAACTCGAAATACGATTTTTGCTTTCGAGTTCTGTTTACACGGAGACGTTCAATATTGAAAGGCGAGGAGATTATCGCTCACGTGGACGGTCGATAATCGCAAATGTTTAGACGAGGAAAGTTTTTTTATATTCTTTCGATAATCGTATCTTCGAGACGAGAAACTCTCTCCATCTAAATGGGCCTTTAGTAATTCAATCCTAAAATATTAACTTACGGAAAATCATAGTTTTGATAATAAAAATTATTGAAATATTCGAAAATAAATGATAAGTAACAGGTTATGTAGGTTAGGAAAGCACTGGATTTGGTTGTTGCAGAAAAATTTCATAAATAAAGCAAAAAATAAACATTTTTGTAAAAAAAAATGTTATTTATAATTTAAATTAAAATATATATTTTATTTATAAAATTTTTTGCAATATTGAATTAAAAAGCATAAATTAATGAGTAATTGTACATTTACGATTGAAAGATAACAAATTTATTTTACATAGGTCAAATCTTGGTTGTACCTTGTACCTGTGTATTTATTAGATTAGGTTAGGGGTTAGAGTTCTCCTCCCCCGCTCCGCCCCTCTCCCCCCCAAAATTCGAGTGTAGGTATTGTACAGTCCTACTCCAATTTCAACTAGGGGATATTTGGGTGGTTGGTGTGTTAAATGTTGTTTTGGTGACCCGTTGGAGAAGACTAAAACTCTGTACTTATATGTGAGGTCTAGCTTCTCACTATGAAGTAACACAATAAAGTAACATAATCCACATGGATTGACATCACAAGGCTGACATTGACAAGTGTTAACTGAGACTGGGGCTCAACTGTACATTACCATCGCACGAGTTGAGAGTTGAAATTAATATGGTGAATAGATTACATAGTTAGCAGTGTAATCCTTAAATATTAGCTTTAGGAAACTCGTAGTTTTGATAATAAAAATTATTGAAATATTCGAAAATATATGATAGGAAACAGGTTTTATAGGTTAGGAAAGCACAGCGTTTGGTTGTTGCAGTATTTTTTTTTAAATAACGCAAAAAAATAAACATTTTCGTAAAAAAAAATGAACGAAACGCCGCGCGCGCGCCGTTTCGTTCATTTTTTTTTACGAAAATGTTTATTTTTTTGCGTTATTTCAAAAATTTTCCGCAGTATTGAATTAAACAGCACAAATTAATACGTAATTGTAAATTTAACATAGAAATTTACTATAACTAGTATGTAAGCTTTTATTTTTGAACAATTATTTTTTGTTGCAAAAAAATAACGAAACGCGTAAAGAACGCCATGTTGTTTGTTGTTGTTTACTGTTTGATGTATGCATCAATTAGGATTTTGCGTTTTTGCCTGGTTTTAGGTTTAAATTTAGTTTTTCATATAACACAGGAAGTGGAGTTAGGGGGGTGGTTTGGGGGTGGGTTTTTCCCGCTAGGGGTTCGGGGGGAGGGGTTTACCCCGCTCTTTGGTGCAAAAACATGATTTTTTGAGGTTATTTTTTTCGAATTTTCAAAAATTAATATCTCGAAAACTATTAACTTCCTAACTTTGAAACTTTGCACGAAGGGTTCCCTCCCCTGCCCCCTTCCCCCCAGCCCCCTCCCACCCCTCAAATCGTGCGATGGTAATGTACAGTCCTTCCGAGACTGGCCCAAGCCTAGTGGCTGCCACTAAGGAAATAATAAGATTTAAAAAATACCACAATATAATAACAGTGGCAAACAAATTACCTGTAGCAGATTTGATCTTATAGCTGGACCCGCCAGATGCATTAATGTTCCTCACAATAGTGATATAATTGCCATAGACTTCATGTTTATAAGCTCTTCGACTACTATTCTTCACTTTAACCTCCACTACCGCTGAATTGGCGCCGTTTTTTATAAAAGCTGAAATTATTGTTTTGGTTTAGCACTGAAATACTTCCAAGTTAATAATAATTTGTGCTTTTACTTTTAATAACATGAAACATTATGAACCGAACTCACACGCAGTAGAAATATCATAAGAGCCGAAGAACAAAGCATGACACTTGAGATTAATGAGTAAATCAAGTGTTAAATAACACAAAATGGAAAACTTACAAGTCAAACTGTTTCCTCTGTTAGTAGCAGAAGCTCTGCTTCCCAAACCGACAACAAGAGCCGTTAAAATAGCACTTTTACCACTGCCGTTGCGACCAACAATGAAATTTAAATTTCTATTAAAGTTCACTTCCAAATTATCGTGACAGAAAAAATTACGCACGTGAATGCTTTCAATACACCCATCTACATCTTCATCAAATACGTCTACATCCATCTTTTAACTGAATTCCATTTATTTACTCACTTAAATTGAGTACAACAGTGGAGAATGCCGAAAACAAAACACTCCAATCCAAAATTTTAGTTTTGACTTTTGACAGATAACACAAATTAAAGATTCTGTTTTCACAACAAACGACAAAGATAGTGCTCTATAGATGAATTGTTTTTCATCTCGCTTTGCTTTCCATAAACACAATTTGTTAGAGAAAAAGTAGCGGTTTTGGATCACTTCCGTTTTTCAAAGTTGCAAGAATCATTAATACAACTTCCTTTAAGGAGAATAAAGCCAAAATTTTTATGATTATTGCATAAACTTTGTAAATAATGTCGAGAGAAATCAAGAATACTTTTAAAGATGAAATTTGAAAAGTTTAGATTTGTAATAATAACAATATTAATAAAATAAAATTGGTTTAATATGAAAAAAAATCTGTACATGTTGAATGTTGAATAGAGTTTTTTAACCAAAGAGTCTATGACGTACATGGCAACAATTTTTCAAACGCCATTTTTGCCTGCGCAGCACGACTGTTACCTTAAGAATTTTCTTGTGATTGAGTGAGAATTTGTGTTTTAATTCGGTTATTTACCCATTATTTTTCTTTCACTGTTCAGTTTTTCCTATTTCTACGGAAAAGTGCTACCAAATAAATTGCAAAAAGGACACTACAGCCAAGGTAAACAACTTTTCCAAATATACGTTATTGCATTACCTTTATATTTCAATAATTTGAAATCACGCTTTTCAGCGTATTTGTAAAAGCATAATTTTGTCATCAACCATAGGGTTTCGATTGTTTTGCATACAGTCTCATCGTTGGTTTATTTATTCACAAGTGAGGGTAAACAAGGTTTTATTTTGTAAAAATGCCACCATCATATTTTTTCTTTTTTGTTTATTTCCAGGAAATCAAAATGAGTGATTCAGCTGACCAAAACGACCCGCCAAAGGATGTAAGTATATTAATAACACATTTTGTTTAGTCTTAACAATTCAAGGAAGTAGACATATGAGTTTGGTTATATTTATATGTGTAGACTACAATAATAATAAACATTATTATGCAAAAAATGAAGGTGGAATTTTTTTGAATATAAATTTGTTTACGCTTTGACTTGGCATAAGTAGATAAAGTAATAACTTTATATTTGTATTTTGCGACCTTGGTTAACACTATGTAGGGGTCTTTTTTTTGGTCCTATACATAGATTTAGTATATAGGTATAGATTGGCCCTGAAGTATTGGTGACGAGACCAAAACAAAAATACATCTGTGTGCGTATAATGTGCATGTGTGCAAGATAAATAGTGTTGTGCCATCCACTGACTTAATTTTAATATCAATTACCATATTACACCAGCATTTCACTTCGTCGTATTCACCAAAATGTCTTATCGCAAAACGCCGAGACGTTAATTAACTAATTAATTAATGATTCAATACAAAATTAAGAAAGCTACTATCACCTTCTGGCAGTGCCATAGGATGGTAGGTAAACAATGGGGACTTTCACCCAAGATAACACTATGGCTCTACAAAACGATGAAAGACCCATGATCAGTTACGGCGCGATAGTATTTTGGCGACGAACCAAGCTGACGACTGCAACCGACAAGCTGGACAATTTCCAAAGACTAGTCTGCATTGCGACAATTGGCTGCATGAAGACAATTTAAAGACAATTTCTGTATTTTTTTCAAAACTTTAGGCTCACTAGTTTCAAAGATAAAGGGGAGAATGATCAATATTCGTCTGTTTTCTTAAACAACTTAAAAATATTTATATTTTAAAATCACAAAGAAATATATACTTGAGAACTTTCACTCCCAATAGTGACTTCAAATTCACAATTAATTTATTTAAGTTACACATTTTGGTCACACAAATGCATATGTGTACCAAATTTCAAAATAATCAGTCCAGTAGGTTTGGAGTAAATTGGCTGTGACAGACAGACAGATGGACACACAAGTGATCCTATATGAGTATCGTATTTTGGAACAGAACAGAACTCTAACAACAACAAATCGCTGATTTGTTGTTGACAAGAGTAGTACTACACAAAATCCATTAATTGTAAGACATACGTCAGACGTCATGAACAATGTGGGTACAGAACCAGAACGTAGCTTTACTCTTTGCTAGCCTCTAAAGGAAAAGCATTTTTCCTCAAATGTTTGCTGCATGTTTTTGAAAACTTTTTGGGAACCCAGTCTTCTCTCTTTAGCATTATAAGCCATTTCTGTCGTACTTCAATGTTTTGAGGAAATCTGAATCAACAACAATAATTAACATAAAAAAATGGGTGCCTCAACTACTCTATTAAAGAAATTTTCGTTTTAATGTAGACAAAAAAAATTCACTAATGCAATATTAATTAAATATAAAGTACTAAAACCAGAAATTTCTGATTCAATAATATTAAGTATGAAGATGATTTCAGCTGTATGCAAGCCACGCCTTTGCCTTTCTTTTTTTCAGTTAATGACATCTTGATAACATATTATCGATTGCGTCAATCTCTATGAAATGGGGTTATGAATTTCAGAAATTCACATATTTGATATATTTTTTAATTGAATTTGTATACATTTGGGTTCTTAATGCACTTCAATGGTATAATTTTACGGATATATTTATGTAAAAAACTTTTGTGGTAGTGCTTTTAGACAGCTAAAAATTTAAATAGTGCTTACATGTGAAATGTACAAGTCTGCAAGTTTTCCTTTTTTAAATGAGTTACATCTGGGCACTGAACACGTTACCATGACTAATAAACATCTGTTTAACACTATTTCATATTTTAAAACCAATTATTTTTCAAAAACAAACAAAATTTGTTTCGTTATCAGCTGATCTTAGGTTCATACAGGCTCATAGCATATAATGAAGTGGTCTCGTCTACCCATCTCGCTCTAACATAGATGTATACTAACGCTCTTTCACTTGCATTGCCAATCTATGGGTAACTATATACTAAATCTATGGTCCTATACATGTAGAACCTGTTTGGATTTCTTGTAGGCCCAATTTGAGAAACTTAACTTTTTAAATTGATACCTGTGTTGCGTTCCTTTTTCTGTTTCACTTGGGATTTCTTACCTTATATTACTCAGAGTGACGGGCGCAGTGGCACTCTCTGAGATCTTTGCAATTTAAAGCTATATATAATAATAACGCACACACTCAACATAGCCCCGCACTAGGGAAACCCTGTAAACAAAAACCACAAATTACACCCTTATTGCCCCCCGGATTTTTGCGATTTGAAACTCTGAGCGGCACTGCAACTGTTATGGACAAGCGTGTAGCTTACCATCAGGCGCACTGTTTGTCCCGTCACTTGATATTATAAAAAAAAAGTCACTTCGTATCATTGAAAAAATATTACTTTCCATTTATTAACATTGCTTTATCTTTTTGACAATGCCAACAATACTGCGTACATATTGTACCCTAAATTTGTAAACCTCATAACTAGCTTTTGATGGGTACTATTGAGTAAGCACAAAAAACACAATTACTTATTAGAAATAATTATTTCATTACATGATTATGGAAATATTTATATGATACAGTAAAGTATAATTATACCTTTACTTTACAACTAAATAAAGTCCACAAATTCTGTTTTAAGCTTTAATTGCCCAATATTACACTTGAAGAGAAAAATTTTAAAATTGAGCCGACAATATCGCAATGTTAATAAAATAGCATATTAACTCAAAAAGTGTATTTTATCAGAATCGATGAAAAACGAATTAGTCACTTCCCGTGAAAGGTCATTAAATCTTATGTATAGGTTAAAGTTTATTACAGACATCTACACTTGCCAAATATACTTAAAAATAAAAGTGAAAAAATCATTTCATATACTTAAGTAAGGACTGTTTTGGCTAGAACTAGCTCTCATGAAGTTTGTCTCATTTTGAGCTAGAACTAGATATTTTTCACTTGTTTCTTAAAATATTCTAACGACAGTTATATTCAAGTGTGGATAATCCAATTTTATGTTCTGCATTGGGAAAATCTTGAATTTCACAAATTTTTATTACAACACTATTGTAATAGCAGCACGACATGTATGTTTCCTCCATGCCCGTATTGTTTTATATGCATTTCTTTCAATAAAAATATAATAACGCACACACTCAACATAGCCCTAGGGAAACCCTGTCAAATCACTCACATGAGTTTTTGTCATCAAGAATACAGAAGTTATCAAATAATTTAGTTTAACGCGCGTCTAACGCTCGTCGTCGTGAGAACCGGCTCTTATAAAAAGATAATTTAAAAGAATTAGTAGTTAAGATATTTTATAAAGTTTTTTGTTTCACAATAGTTTTAAACCTTGTTAATAGCTTGTCTGTCAAGAACAACAGGTTTGTTTTTGTTCCTCATATTAGCCGCCATCGTTTTCCTCGAAAAAGTTTTTTTAAATAATTTAAATACACTTTCATAAAATTGTACTGACATCAGTAAAAGAATATTGATTTCTTAGAACTTAGCTCTTGCAAGCACTCTGGAATTAAATT